AGTAGGGAGAAGAGGACAAGATTAAAATTCTTAAATAGGAAGAAAATTATTTTAATAGGATGCAGGAAATAATATTCTATTCACACAACTGAGAAGAGAAAGTCTCGCAGATTGACTTATATATACACATGAGGGAGGGAAGTAAGATTCCAAGAATATTTCTAGTATTTTAGGGAGGAAACAGACATTTTCTAACATTTCGCTCATTATATGCATATTGTAGAACTCGTGTTTCATATCTGACCATAGAACTTAAACTAAGTTTTGGCCTTCTCGAGCACCCATGTACCTGCTTTTTGTAGGCATTCTGGCATGGTAGCTGGCTGACTGATTGGTTAATTGTAGGCAAAAAAATAAATTGAGAAGGTAATAAGAATTTTTGAAGATAATCCGAGGGCAGAATATAAATCTTTCTGAATTTATTGAGTATACAATCGCCGCGATATGAATATCCGTCGTTGAATAGTCACAATCGCCGCTAATTTGATAGTACTTTCATTTTTCTTCTCTCTTAATTGTTCCTGGACAATCCGTCAGCAAGTCGAAATGCATACATTACCAGCTATTGAGACTCCTCAATCACAGGGCGAACACGTCTCCTTAATTGTTGATGTAGTTGTTGTTGCTGATGCTTCTGTTTCTGAACCTGCTGTACATGCGAACCCGACGATGGATGTTGAGCTACCCTGAGAGGTTGGTCAGTAGTCAAAATAACACGACAATCTTTTTCTTGAGTTTCCGTAGAAGTTTTTGCCTCCATAGCGTGTCCCAATTGCTTAGACTGACTTTTCGAGAAAACCGGAGCCCGAGAAGCTTGAGATGCACCAGCCTGGTTAAGACTATCTGTCGGGTCAGCACAAATATTGTGGTTGTCAGCGGTTGGCCATCTTGACTGTTCCAGCACGCCACCGTAAGTTCCTAGAAGAAGGTCGCTTTCCTCCAATTGTCTTGATGGATAAGGCATTGAATGCTGATTCCGATAATAATGGGACTGGACATGTTGCCGAGAGATAGGTATATGGATGGGGCTCTGCAAACCCGAGTAGAGATACTGTCTCTGATTTGGAGGGTAATCAAATCCCTCCAGATGTCCCTCTGATGCACTGGATAATGGTCCGGCAGCACGATGACGAGCTATTGAGAATCCTGAGGCATTAGATCCTGTCTGCATATTGGAACCAGACACTGAGCCAGAGACCGAGAGCAGCGTAGGTGAAGGATAGGGGGGCGGCGGGGGCAGTGGAGGGTATGGTGAGAAAGGTTGTACATCCAGATTGCCTGTAAAATGATCAATAATGCGCTTGGGGTGCCGAGTCCATTTTATGAGTGTCTCCGAGGAACGATATAAGAAAATAAGTTTGCAAATCAACTGCTCCTCAAGGTGTAGAAGACGGTTTTCACGTACCAAATAAATCTCGTGGCAGAGGTTTAGGATACGATCAACATGCGGCATTTCAGCATATTTAACTACATAAGAGAGGTCACTGTAAATGTTGCGAAAAAGCCGATGGATCACAAAGATGTAGCCTGCGTAAATTCCGATGACTCTAAAAAAATAGTAAAAAGCAGATATGAATAACTAGTCGTAAAAATGGAGGAGCAACTAATCATCACCTAGAATGACTGAAAGCTTGATGCGAAATTCTTTTAAATTGTAATCCAAGCAAGAAAACATTTGCATTTTGGAAGACACTTGTCTGGCTTCATTCAACTTAAAAGAATGCTCCCATTTCCACATCAACAGGAAAAGTTGCTTTTATGAAAAATCTCATTAAGGCCTGCCTAAGTGATTTTTTATCCAGTCTGGAGGGCTGTATATTAATAAATGTATTTGTAATTCATGGACAGATTCCTGCAAGGTTATCAGAGGCATTAATGAGAACTCACAGCTGGGGATGAAATATTGCTGCCGAGATGAAGGTCCCAAAAAGCAGACAGACAGATAAATTAGTGCAAACGGAAGGATAAAAACGAAAAACCCATGCGTGGACAATAAATTGAATAAAATTATTTTATAAATTGTAGGTAAGAGAGAGTTGAAGGCAAAATTAAAAGCTCAACTGGTAAAGTGAGCCTTAGCCTGCATACAGACCACTGCAACCATACAAAGCTAGTAACAATTACTATACAAATATAGGGGAAAGGAGATGTAAAAATGACAATATAAAAGATAGAAGTCGTTTGACCTTGTTTTCGCAACTTGGTCATATTGGTAGGACGACTTAGAGGAACGCACCTTGTCCGGAGTCCATTGTCTGCATGATCATTTCCAAAGTCGGACCGTGGAAGTGGTCCATTCCCAGAAGTTACGCCGGCATCGTCAGTGAGTTTCGCCATTCTTAGCATCAAATACCAACTCGTCAAGAGACAAGTGAAGCCGATCCTTTGACCAAACGTGTGCTAAGCAGGTATAGTATCTCCCCTGGGCTATTCACATTTCCTATATCCTCCAATCGTGCCTTCACTGTCACAATCTTTTACTTGCTTAGTTACATGTTGTACGATGTGCCCTTTTGAGCGGCTTTCATGAGAACCCTCCGCACTCCACGCTGGCCTTCTCATCCCCCTTCATCCTTGTGCTAGGAATGTGCATCAGAGTCTGCCATATTGTTACGCAGTCCTCTTTCCATATGTCTTACCACGGTCTCTCTTGCCCCGTAGAATCCATCTGTAATCTCTCTGGTTCAAGTATTTCTCTCTATCTGCTACTAGAGGTGTTATTACCCTTCCTCAGCGGCTGGGTGACTAATTTGATGCTAAAGCCTCTGAGTAAGTGTCATGGTCACGCCTTTGTCACATGGACCACGTGTCTTATATAAACTACTTTCAGCCCACTAGCTCCCATCGCCGCAGCGTATATCCTGTTTCTATCACTAATACCAAGTATATGGCTTGCCATGCCCTAGTTTCTTATGTACCAACCCACAAATGTTGTAGTACTTTTTGCTTTGGTTAGGTTCAAAGTTGAACCAAAACAACAGAGGAGGGGTAATAACACACACCTCGAGTAGAATATATGGAGAAATACTTGAACCAGAGAGATACCATAACTGTTTAGCACACGTTTGGTCAAGGGATTGGCTTTACTTGTCTCTTTTTGACGACTTGTTGTCTGACTTTGGAAATGATTATGCATACAATGGACTCAGGACAAGGTAGGTTCCTCTAAGT